TTACATACATAGCACAATATTTGGTTTTTGTATGATTTTGGTTGTTGAAGTCCATTCGGCTAGCTGGGACCATCCTGGGCCGCCATGAGGCTACATTGAAGCGAAATTGAGGTCATCCGAGGCCACCTTGGGGCAAACATGAGGCCTGACAGACACTGACTTGGGCGCGTGGCGCGCTCTTGGGGCGACCTTGGGGCGCTTTCGTCCGCTCTTGTCGCGCTTTCGCCTCTCCTCCGAGGCCGCCTCGCGGAGATGTGCCCGCCTTCGCGGCGGCGGCGCGGCCAGCTGCCGTACCGCCTCCGCTCCCACTCCCTCGTCCGTGCGGGCTCGCACGCGCTCCCACTCCTCGCAGGCCCAGGGGTGGGCACCAGCAGTTATCGGCGGTTGCCTCTCTGCGATGGTAGTAATACTCGGGCGTCTTAGGTGGTCGAACAATCCCCACCAGCACCAAGGTCATTTCCCCACGGTGGAGACATTCCTGTGTGTAGGTGTTGGTGCAGATCTGCAGGCCTCCTACCTCCTCTTGTCTCCACCGCGGGGGCCAGCTCTTTCGGCCCCGCGAGTGAGGAGGAGCGCGACGACGAGGCTCCATGTACCGACCTCGGCATCGACGACGACGACGAGGACAGCGACGAGCACGACGACGAGGACGACGACGGTGACAACGGCGACAACGCCGGCGGCGACGCCAACAACGGCGCAAAGGAGGTTGCCTCCCTCGGAGCCCCCCCACGGCCCCGAGGCGCGGGCGAAGGGCGGCAAGGACGACGGCGACCTGCCACCCCTGGCGCGCGCGGGGGGGGGAAGCCTGGAGGGCGCGCTCGCAGCCACGCCCGGGCGTGGGGCAGGACGCAGCGCCTCTTCCTCTTCGGGGGTGGGAGGAGGAGGAGGAGGAGGAGGAGGAGGAGGAGGAGGAGGGAGGAATAGGAGGAGGAGCAGGAGGAGGAGGAGGAGGAGGAGGAGGGACGGGCCCTCTCGCCAAAGGTTCCCCAGTTGGGCTTCGCCCTCGGCGGGGAAGCGTACAGAGGAGGCATTACACAAGGAATCGTTGCTTCCAGGCGGGGCCCTCGGACATTCCTTCTATTTTGAGGAGTGGCTGTCACAGTTCAGGGTCTGCGAAAATTCCTGAAATCGTAATGGGCACAAGCCCGGATGTCCAGGGTCTCGACCATTCACTACAAAATGAAGAAAACTCTGCCGATTCGAGCCCGCGCGTTCCTTAACAATGGTATCCCTATGTAAAAACTCCACGTGTTCGTGGGATGTCTGCATCGGGAGCTCGCGTCAAATTTCAAGTTGGGTCTCGGCATGTTCCTGACGGCTCCGTCAAGCAAACCCGAGTCTGGCAATCGGATTCGATTGGACAGGACACCCGAGAAGACAAGACACTTATGACGGCAACGTGGCCCCAGAACACCAACAGACATGCGGGTTGCACCGGTCGGGATAGACAGGACACAAGGGCATCTTCGATTTGGCAAGTTTGATCGACCAATCAAAGTTAACCGAACGTCTCGAAATCAGGAGGGAAAAAACACAGAGACGCAATCAAGCGTCGATCCCGCAGAAAAGATGGGACAAGATGGGAAGTGGGAGGGAAGACCAAAACCCAGAAGATATAGGAACAACAATTGCGTGAATCCTGTCATTTGTGCGTGTCTATTTATTGGTGTGTGTCCCAGGGCCCCATCCACGAAACCGCGCCCGCGCCCCCTCGCGCACGGGCGCGGCTGCGAGAGGCGCGGGGCGGCGGCGCCGAAGGAGCGGGGAGGGGTCGTGGCGAGGTGCGGAGGTGGGCCCCCGGCGTCGGCAGAGCGCCCGGCGGGGGCGGGGGCCTCGAGGCGGGGGTCGGCGCAGACGGGGGTCGGCCAGGGCGCCGGATGCTGCATGGTCCTGCGAAGACCCCCTCTGGCTGACCCGGGTTAGCGAGCCGCTCGTGGCCGCGAGGGGCGCCGCGCATATTGGCTGACCCGGGTTTGCGAGGACCTGCGTTGCAGTTTTTTTTTGCTCCTGCATGGCAGTTTTTGGTTTCCTGCTGACCCGGGTCTGGATTGACCCGGGTCAGAAGATCCCCGAGGCGGCCCAGAATCCGCGCCCCACGCCTCGTGGGCCCCCTTCTCCCCAGGAGGGAAAAAGAAAACACAGACACAACGAATCGTCGATTCCCCCGAAAATATGGGAAGCTATGGGACGTGGGGGGGGAGACCAAGAACCCAGAAAATATGGGGACATATTGGGAATTTGGTTGTGTGTGTGTCTATTTGTTTGTGTGTCCCAGTTCCCCTTCAGTTCTCCCCTCCTGGACGACCCACTTCCATCGCAGAAGGGGGGCATCAAGTTCCTGGGAGTGCCTAGGGCCCCTGCCCTACAGGGCACACGTTTCCGCCACCCGCAGAAGGAGCATCAACGCCATCCCCCTTCTTCCACCGCCGTCGCATCTTTTGTGGGGCGTTTCGAGGATACGTCCCCGTGTTCCAACACGGAAATACATCGTCTCACT